TGCCAATCCAAATAAGCAGTTAATGCCCAGTTGCTATGGGGCCCGTAAGAAAAATCTGGCATCTTTCCGCTCACACTCACACCCAAGACATCAGCAAACTGTCTGAGGTGCAATAAATGTTACTGAATATGCCTTTATGCACCCTAGGAGACACAGCCAGAGCTTAAGCTTCCTGGACAACACCCCCATTGTGAAGGCTCCCAAATTTAACTTTCCTGCTTTACTCCTTTTATTGCTTGTGGTTTGTTGTATGGACAACATAATCCTGGGTCCACAAGGTACTAGTTAAAGCATGCTATTATTTAAAATTCTAAGACTCACCTTTTTATCTCACTGTTCACACAGATGAAATCTGGTCTTTGCACTTTGTACTCATCACTGGCTAAGCAGCACCTCAACGCCAGATGTGCTCACTGCTGTTTATTCTGATGGTCCTCCCAGTGCTTTATGGGCACGAGCAACATTGGTTTTCTAGCTACAACCCAGACAGTGGACTAATACCTAGAATACATATAAACTCAAAAAAAAAAAGACCTCTCAAGGGCTGACCAGACAGCTCAGCAGACTAAAGCGCCTGCTTAGGCAGAACACAGAGACCTGGGTTTGATCCCTGACATGCCATGCCAGCCCCATCCCCAGGACATGCTGAGATGCAACTGAGACTGGGTATGGTGGCACACACCTGTAATCCCAGCACTTGGGAGGCTGAAAATAGGAGGATCACTGAGAGTCCAATCTGTGTAGTGAGACTCTGTAGACCTTGTACTAAATACATTACAAAAAAAGAGAAAAAAATTAGGCCTCCCAAAATGAAAGATCCAGTCAAAAATGGGCAACTAAAATGAATAGAGACTTTCACAAAAGAAGTACAAATGGCCAACAAGTATGAAAAATGTGCAGCATCTTGGGTTAATAGAGAAATGCAAATCGAAACAACACTGAGAGTCTATCTTCCTCCAGAAAGAATGGCTGTCATCAAGAATTCAAAAACCAAATGCTATCAAGGTTGTGGGGGTGGCTGGAGAGATGGCTCAGTGGTCTAAAGCACCTACTTGAAACAAGCTTGGCAAAGCACAGGGACCGCGGTTCGATCCCCCAGCACCACATGCCAGCCAGCCCCGCCCCCTGGTGGGCTGAGCTGGCCACACACAATAAATAAATGTAATAAATAAAAATAAATAAATAATTTAAAAAAAAAAGGTTGTGGGGGAGAGAAACCCTTCTACACTGACTTAGGGAAATTAAACTAACAAATCACTATGGTAACCAGCATGGAGATGCATCAGTAAAAGTTTAGAAATTCCATCTGACCCAACTACTCCCCTTCTGAGCATCTTCCCAAAGGAGTACAACGAAACACACATATACATGTTTATGGAAGCACAGTTCACAACAGCTGAATCTTGGAAACAGCCTCTATGACTTTCAACAGATGACTGGATGAAGAAAACGAGGTACATATATGCAATGGAAAACATATGCCCATAAATAAGAACAAATTTCAGTCACTTGTAGGAAAACAGATACAACTTGTGACCATCATGCTAAGAAAAATAAATCAGATGCAGAAAGCTCAATACTGTATCACATGGTTTTTTTTTTCAGAGAAATCCAAAGTATAGATAAAGAGTAAAATGAAAGACAAATGATAGAAATACGGGGGTAGGTAGAAGTTTTGTAGACAGGAAGGGAATCTAAGACAGGAGAAGTTTCAAAACAAACTAAAATGAATTATGTAGAGGTACCAACTTTTTATGGTGAATATATTCCTTATGCACCCTAAACATGTACTAGTAAAAAAGGCACAGTATTTTTTCAAAGTTATGGATGATCTGGTGCTGAAAAATTACCACATACAAAGACACAAAAAGAACAGGCAACTTTCATGAGGATGGCCCCGAAAGCAGAGGAAATTTCCATCCTTCCCAGAATGAAAAACACAGCCATGGAAGATCAAGAAGGCAACACTACAGGACATCTTCCACAGTCACAGAGGGACAACTGCATGTCACCTACCTTCCAGGAGCCCAAATACACAGGCTCTGGTGGTAGGGCCTCAGCAGAACACCCCAGGAGAAAGAAGCTTAGCCACTAGGCTGTCCTCAACTTCCCCCTCATCACTGAGTCTGTCATGAAGATGTAAGATGGCACATGGCGTTCACTGCGGGTGCTGAGGACACAAAACTTCACACAGGCTGTGAAGAAGCTGTACGACCCTTACAGGGCCACGGGAGGAAGGCATACGTCCACTGGCTCCTGTTTATGATGCCTGTGGTGTGGCCAACAAAATTGGCATCATCCCAACTGAGGCTAGCTGGCTAATTCTAAATACATTTTTTCATCATAAAACAAACAAACAAAAAACGCCAGGCTGGGTGTGGTAGTGCATGCCTGTAAACCCAGCACTGAGGACGCTGAGGCAGGAGGACTGTTTTAAGCCAGGGCTACAAAGTGAGCTCAAGGTCAGCCTGAACTGCAGGGTAAGACCCTGCTATATTTGTCAAAAAGACAAAAAAAAAAAAAAAAAAAAAAAAAAAAACACATACATAACAAAACAGGAGCAGGATATATACCAGATATTGGTGAAACAAGTATTTATAATAACATTTAATGAATGCAAGTCGATATTTGGAATGGTGACCTGACCTTATGATTCTATCCTCTAATTGGACCTATGATAGGAAGAAGCCTGTAAGAACATAGAGCTGTGTGAACACGACATGACAACAGACACAAGGATAAAAATGCCTATGATAAGCCAGTACAACTGATGGGAGGAGAGACTGCAAATTTCCTCAGAGCACATACCCCTCAACAGCCAGTTAGCTCAGCAGATGAAAGCGCCTGCAGGCGCAGGGGCCAGGGGTTTGCCGGCCCCGGCCCCGGGGTGTGCTGAGATGGCAACTGAGACTGGGCGTGGTGGCAGGTGCCTGTAATCCCAGCTCTTGGGAGGCTGTAAACAGGAGAATCACTATGTGTCTCATCCAGTAGTGAGCCCCTGAAGACCCTGTAGACTCTTCCCTCAAATTCAAAAAAAAAAAAAAGCACATACCCCTCAAAAGAGTAAGATACGTGTGACTAATTCAGAACCAAAGAGGAAAGTCTTGTGTTTGGTTGTCAATGTTTCGCCATCTCGGTGAATAAAATAACACTGCTTCTCACACCTTACAACATCCTGTATGAATATGTGTACATTGTGGCATACTTTACAGGCAGACCCATTATGAATAAATATGGAAAAATCTTGAAGGCAGATGACAAGTACAAAAAAATGCAATCAGTTATACAATTTTCTTTAAAACTAGTATTGGTATAAAAGGAAGACAGAGACTGAGAGTCTGGAATTAGCCTTCAAGGGCTGGCCAAATAGATCAGCAGATTAAAGTGTCTGCAAGCAAGCAAGCGCAGGGGCCAGGGGTTCAATCCCCAGGCCGGCCACACAGGCCCTGCCCCCGGGGTACACTGAGACAGAGACTGGGACTGGGCATGGTGGTGCGCACCTATAATCCCAGCTCTTGGGAGGCTGTAAACAGGCGGATCACTACGAGACCGATCTAGTTGTGAGACTCTGAACACCCTGTAGACCCTTCCCTAAAATACAAAAAAAAAAAAAAAAAAAAGAATTAGTCTTCATTTATGTAAATGTGAGCTACTAGGAGCTGGCGCTGTAATCATGAGGAAAGAATGACCATGGTGAGGGGACAAAGTGGTTTCCACATGGAGAAAACAGAAATCCACATGGATTTCATTGAAGTACAATAAGAAAACTTTAAAAACAGAGGAATAATCTTGGAATAAGGAATACTTTCTCTTTTGTCTTTTTGAGACAGGGTCTTGGTATGTAGCTCAGGCTGGCCTTGAGCTCACTTTGTAACCCAGGCTGGTCTTGAACTCACAACAAACCTCCTGCCTCAGCCTCCTGAGTGCTGGGATGACAGGCGTGTGCCACCACGCCTAGCTGAAATAAGGAGTAATTACTTTAAAATACATAAAAAACACAAAACCTGAATAACACGTTTATGCTGAAATTAAGTAGTTCTGGTGATCAGGACATTGGTAGCCAAGTGACAAAGGCAAGACAGACGAAACAAAAGCCGCAGAAATGCGTTTAGCAGATAAAGCATTTACCTCAATGGGAAGTGATTTATGTTGCACAATCTGACCAAGCATTTACATCCAGAATATGTACAAACTCAAAACATTAAAAAGACAACCCAAGGGCTGGCCAGATAGCTCAGTGGATTAAAAGTGCCTGCTTAGACAAAAGCAGGGGTCGGAGGTTCGACCCCCGGCCTGCCGTGACAGCCTGGCCCCTGGGGTGTGCTGAGACAGCAAATGAGACTAGGCGTGGGGGGAGCGACAATAAGTCAATACCAGGATTCTCATTCACCTAAATGCCCTTGGCTACTTCAGACATGCCTGAGCCCAGGCCTTCTACTGAAAGGGCACACAGCCAAGAGACTGCGGCCCAGCAGAGTTCAAACCAGCCATTCCAGCTCCTTAAGCCGATCCCTACTGTAGACAATACTTTCAGCATTTTCTCACTGAAAGGGAACCTCTATTCCTACTTTTTACCAAGAAATCCCAAAACTTCAGAAGACTGAAAATAAAACTTGGCAGCCCTCCCTCTCCAGCATTTCTAACCTAGGCTGAGGGTGTTACGCATCCTAGGCTGGGAAACAATGATTGATTGGTCTTGGGCGGGGAAGGCAGACAGCACCTCTCCCTTTTCACTCGGGTACTCACTTGTCACTACGTCAAGCAGTAAAACAGCAGCCCTGAGCCGCTGTTACACGAACCCCCACACCTGAAATATTTACTTCCCGACTTTTCACAGCAACGTTCACTACCCTCAGTCTTAACAACCAGCACGAAAAGGTCACAAATGATGCTATTAGCCGGGGGAAACCACCTCAAACTCCACACCAAAAGGTTCAAGTAAAAATAAACAGTATTAACCAGCCCAACTAGGGACCCCGAAATAGGCAGTCAGTTTGTACCTCAGTTCCGACGAGCGCGGGACGGATGTAGAGACTAGCAGCAGTGGAATAGGGGACCCACTCTTTATCCAAAGACACAAGCTCTTGGATACACTGGAGAAGCTCGTCCTTGTCAAATACCTGAAAGAATGAAAACTGAGTGGATGATGACATCCCCCCACCTAAAATGTCACTGAGAAATGATCCTGAGAGAGGTCCCTAAAAGGGCGGGGGGGGGGATGTCTTCAAGACTACTTAAATCTTTCCAGATGACATTCTTAAAATAGATAGACAGATAGATAGATCCCCAAATGGTAGTAGGAACTGCCCATCTAGGAAACAGATTAGATACCTAGCTTTTATCATACTCACCAATTTTACTTAGGACTTTATAGTTCAGTATGACAAAATACTACTGAGACTTTTATTACAACATAGAAGAGATCTGTCACTTTAAGATAGAAAAGATTTTTAAGTAACACATGTAAAACACAAACGATGCAAAGAAGGAAATGGATAAAATTTGCATATAGCATAAGGACTCTTGTTCTTCATAAGATGTAAAAGTATCAAGCCGGAGGAAGATATTGGTAACATATAAAGGATAGACCGGTATATGTTAATATATCCTGAATGTCAGGTGACCTAAAGGAACACAGACAAAAGCAGTTTATTGCCAAAGAGGACAAGGATTTTCATTTCCTAGAGAGGTGACAGTTCATTAAATTACTCAAATAGTTTCTTATCGGCTGTGGGGCACACACGCTGTCAGCAGCAGCATGGGAGATACCCGGTAGAAAGGTGTTGCCAACTAGTTCAACGGAACTTACAGTACCAGGAAGTGCCTGTTTAAACACAAATCTGTACCAGTGATCACAGGGTAGTAATGTCACTGAAGCTGGGACTGCCAACAATGTGGATAACACCGTATCACTTGCTTAGGGCTCAGGAACTACTGTCTACATATAAAATTTAATTAAGTGAAAGAAGAATTTGCCTTGGAATCAAAAGGCCTAGGTCCGATTCCACGCACAATTTCTTTAATAATGTGTGACCGAGGTAAGTCATTTACCCCAATCTGAGTTCAAGTTTTCTCCTCCGTACAGAGGTACTACTAACCTTGTAATACATGCCTTCTGGACAGTGGCTTAATTCTATGATTGAATAGGCAAGGAACGAGAAAACACACAATACAGTTCGTGGCAGAGCTGATGGCCCATAAATGCTATTTCTTTCCTTCAGGTCCAACTTTAAAACTTTCTTTCTTTCTTTTTTTTTTTTTTGCGGGACCAGGGATTGAACTCAGGCCCTCGCGCTTGCCAGGGAAGCACTTATACCACTGAACCATCTTCTCGGCCCCTTAAAACTTTCTTTAATTATCTACCAGTAATGGCAAGAAGTGAATCAGGGGTCTCAGCCAATGAATATAGTTTAATTTTTCTGTTACTATAGTAAAGTTCCAAAAGGAGATTGGTAAGGCCTGCGTTATATAAACAGGGAAAGGGGGCTGGCCAGATAGCTCAGTGGACTAAAGCGCCTGCTCAGGCACAGCAAGTGGCTGCATTCAATCCCCAGTGTGCCATTCCAGCCCCATGCCCGGGGTACACTGAGACAGCGATCGAGACTGGGTGTAGTGGCACATGCCTGTAATCCCAGCACTTGGGAGACTGGGAACAGGAGGACCATTATGAGTCTGATCAACATAGTGAGACCCCGTAGACCCTGTACTAAATACTACATACTAAATAAATGAAACAAGGAAAGAAAAACACTGTATAAAAAGATGCTCAAAGTTAGCCTTCTTCAGTGGATGCCTTGGGCAAAGCTCCAGAAGGTGAGCTACAGAGCTTTATATAAGAACAGACTGCTCTGTTCAGAAAAGCAGCTTAGCCACATTTCAGGAAGGCAGGCAGTGTGAGTCACCCCAAGTGAGACAGGAATGTTAGTGTTTAAATGTAACCCATTTTATAATGAATTCTGACCCATAACAATATTATAGGCAAGATCAATTTGTAAAATAAACAAAAAATCCTTTAAATATTCTTTTCTCCAAAGCAAAACTTGGAATGAAATAATTATTATCTCATTGAATACTTGCTAGTGGCCACAGCAATTGAGCAAAACAGCCCCCAAAATTTCAAGCTACACACATTGATCATTTTCAACATCATAAATTCATGTGGCCTTCAAATTATATCATAGTTTGAGAAATATTTATCCTACCCTTTTATCTCTCATGTACTCATTAATGTCCAGGCCCTAATAAAGCAGCAGAAATGCTGTGGATTTGCCAAACAGTCTTGGCTAGCTCCTTGTGTGTTACTTTACTAATTGAAGTAAATCAGAAGTAACTTCAATGTTCTTTATGGTTTGTGCTGAATTCGGATCTGATTATTTAGAAATCTCTGTCTTGTTTTAATTTGGCAAAACTGGGGGGCTGAATCCAGGACCTTTGCACTACTTCTCAACTTTTTAAAAATTTTTTCATTTTGAGATAGGGTCTCAGTCATTTGCCTGGGCTGGGCTCAAATATGTGATCTTCCTACTGTGCCCTGCCAGGGTACTGGGATTACAGTCAGATTAGAAATGATATTATTTTTTAAAAAAATCTTTTATTCATTTATTTGGTACAGGGTCTTGCTACACAGCTCAAATTTGCAGTGATACTCTTGTCTCAGCCTCTCCAGCGCTGGGATTACAGACATGTGCCACCACACCTGGCTTCAGTGGCCGGCGCAGCATGTGGTAGAAGGGACTGAACCTGAGTCCTTGCACTTGCCGGCAGGTTCTTACACTGCCGAGCTATCTCCCCAGCCCTAGGAATAATATTTTTGAAGAGAAGATGATTTTTATGAGAAAATGTCACAGCCAATAAAAGCTTAAGGTGATATGACAGCTTAACGTAATAGCAATGGGATCCTGGAACAGCCAAGAGACATGAGGTAAACACTAAAAAAATCTGAATAAATGGTTGTCTTTAATTCATAACATAATACAGTATTCATATTGGTTTATTAATTGTTAAACGTACCATATAAGTCACATGTGAATAATGGGGGGAAATAGGGTCAAGTAATGGGAATTTTATTATTTTTTTTCTTGTATTTTAGAGAAGGGCCTACCGGGTGTTCAGAGTCTCACTACTAGATCAGATTCGTAGTGCTCCCCCTGTTTACAGCCTCCCAAGAGCTGGGATTACAGGCGCACCACCACACCCAGGGGTGGTGCTGGCTAAGCATGCCCCAGGGGTGAGGCCAGCATAGCAGGCCCGGGAGCAAACCCCCCGCCCCTGCGCCTGCTTGCAGGTGCTTTAATCTGCTGAGCTATTTGGCCAGCCCTTATGATTTGTAAACGTTCTATAAATTTAAAATTATTCTAGTTGTCAACATACAGGTATATTTTAGAAAACAAACAAACAAACAAAAAACCTGTCGGCTGTAGTGGTAAACTCAGAGTGAACCATTAAATTAAAAGCAACACAACAGAAGTCCTAAATTCACCTACCGGCAAGGTTGCCCTCACGGCAGATCGATACATTCTGTCCATGTTGAGGTCCGGCCGAAACAGCCGAATTTTATTGTCATGTCCTCGATATGCCTTCAAACCTTCAAACAACTGGGGATGAAGAAGAAATAAACCTTAGGGGGTAATGAAGTGACAATTCCGCTGATGAAAAGACTGATGCCTCTACAGGCGCTCCTCTTGCTCCGCCTGGACGCCGACTTCTACCTGAGATGACAGAATTGGATGACAGAGAGGTTAGAGTAACTGCGGGGAAGTCCTTTCATCATCAGAATCTGGTGGGAGTTTAGGATTCTATTTATTTATTTATTTATCTGGTACAGGGTCTTACTACACAGCTCAGACTCATAGGGATCCTCCTGTTTCAGCCTCCCCAGTGCTGGGATAACAGGCATGCGCCACCACGCCTGGTCTGCAGGGATTGAACCTGGGTCCTTGCGCTTGCCAGGCAGGCATCTAGACTGCTGAGCTATCTCCCCAGCCCTGGATTTTAGGATTCTCATTTGCTTGCAGGGGCCATAGTGCTCCGTAACAGACTGGTAGCAGAAATGGCACAACCAGCTCAGCTTCCCAGACTATAGAACAAAAGCTCAGTGGCACCCTATCCCCTCAGAGTTCCCTGCCCCCTCAGAGGTTTCATGACCCCTCAGAGGTCCCCTGACCCCTCAGAGGTATCACGACCCCTCAGAGGTACCAGTGTATCTCTTCCCTTAAATAGGTTCATTCACAGTCCAGGTAGTGATGGTGAAGCTTTGAGAGCTTTCAATGATAGAAACAGCCTCTTGCGACACAGGGCACAGGTTCTCCACCACGGTCTACTAGGAAGGTGTCATGATTTAGATGGAGAATGTCCTTCAAAACTCTTTCTTTTAAAGTTGGGACTTTGAAATGGCAACTGGATTCCGAAGTCACCATACACGTCCGGAGACCGATCTCCATCGCTTCATGGCTGAATATGCTATTAGGAGGAAGTGGCCTGGGTGGAAGAGGCCTGTCACTGAGGACATGTCTTTGAAGGGCCTCACTTCCCCTTGAGGTCCTCCCTTCTCTCTCTACTTCCCAGCTGCCACAAGGTGAGCACACTTCCTCAGCCAGGCCCTTGCACCGTGTGTGCCTGCACTGGAGCCAGCAAACCACAAACTGAATCTCCCGAACACTGAGCCGAACTAAACTTCTCCTTTAGGTTGTGGGTATTGGGGGATGTGTCTTAGCAGCAAGAAAGCTAAACAGTAGAGCAGTGGGTCATCTCTGTATAGCCAGATCTGGTTCAGTCCAAATCATAAAGATAAGGCGGCAGAAGAGCACACTCAGGTAAGGCCAGGCCATCTACTACAAAGTGCTGGCTGAGTGGATGGGGAGGGGAAAAGATGCTGAAATACATGTATATGGATAAATACACACAAAAAAGAACTAACATTTCTATTGGGAAATTTTAATATAAGCCCTCAAAGTAATTAATAGAACAAACCAGTTATAGCTAAATAAAGACAGAAAATTGGAATCAGGCGAAGAGACCTGCCTAAAAGCCAGCCAGAACCCTATATATTCAACCTGCAGAACATTCTTTTTTTTTTTTTTTTTCCTGTATTTTAGGGAAGGGTCTACAGGGTGTTCAAAGTCTCACTACTAGATTGGACTCCTAGTGATCCTCCTGTTTACAGCCTCCCAAGAGCTGGGATTACAGGCACGCACCACCATGCCCAGTCTCAATTGCCATCTCAGCATGTGCCAGGAGTGGGGCCAGCACGGTAGGCCCAGGGATTGAACCTCCGCGGGCCCTGTGCCTGCCTGCAGGCACTTTAATGTGCTGAGCTATTTGGCTGGCCCTAGAACACATATTCTTTTCACAGGCTTTGCATACACAAGAGAAGTCAGAAATTGATATCAAAGCACAACCAGAAAGTGTCCACACTTTAAAAACTAATAAATCCATTACTAAATAACCACGGGTCAAAGAAAAAATATAATGGAAATTCAAACATATGTGGAACTATTAGTGAAAAGTAAGATCTTTGGGTAATGAAAGTCTATAATAAGATGAGGAAAAAAATACAAATCATGTAGTACAGTTAAAAAACATAAAATTAGACCCTGTATTTCAAATATAACTAGATTATTAATTCATTAAATATAATCAGGGCAAAGCTTCAGTTAAAAGGAAGGTGGTCAAATTGGACTCAGCAGGGTGACATTTGAAACGAGCAGTTATTATCATTCAAATACTTTCTAAAATAAAGCTGGTGAAGTTAAATTACTAAATGTAAAACAAGAGAATGTAAGACAACAAGCACTACCTTAAAGAAGGTGACTCCATAAGGTTTCATGTATTTTACAATTTCAAAACTGTACACACTGAGGGCCAATCAGATAGCTCAGCAGACCAAAGTGCCGGCTTAGGCAGAGCGCAGTGGTGGGGGTTTGATCCCCGGGCCTGCTGTGCCAGCCCCACCCCCAGGGCTCCACACTCCACATGTGGTGGAGTGTGCCTGTAATCCCAGTGCTTGGGAGGCTGAAAACAGGAGGATCACTATGAGTCGGATCTGTGTAGTGAGACCCTGTAGACCCTGTACCAAATACAAAAAAAAAAAGTACATATTTAGAATGAATGGTTTATTACCAAAAAAGCTAAATATACCCAGTACTACAAGGATGTGGAGAATGCAAACACGAGCACACTGCTGGGGAGAACAGATGTGAGCACAGCCATTATGGAAAATAGGGAAGTTTCCTTTAAAAACTTCAAACTGGGGGCTGGCGAGATATGGCTCAGTGGTCTAAAGCACCTACTTGGAACATACTTGGCAACGCATAGGGACCACGGTTCAATCCCCCAGCACCACATGCCACCCAGCCCCGCCCCCTGGTGGGCTGAGCTAGACACAGACACACACACACACACACACACACACAATAAATAAATAAATAAATGTTAAATAAATAAATAAAAACTTCAAACTGAACTAGCGTAGGACTCAGCAATCCAACTACTGACCGTCTGTCCGCCCAAAAGGCACGGTGTTAGCGTGCTGCAGACTATCAGCCACGACGGGCAGGACACAGAGCCAACCTAAGTGCCCACCAAGAGCTGAAGGAATAAAGACAAAGTGTGCATACAGATGCTGTCAGGCCCGAAAAAGGAAGGCGGTTCCATCATTTTGATCACAGTTGAATCTGGTAGTTGGTTTAACCTATGTGCACCAATGTGATTCATTATATTAACAACTTACGTATGGGGGAAAAGATGCAATCACCCCATTCCATATAGGAAATGAAGCTGATAAAACTGACTATTCAGTTGTTTTTTTAAGCTTCCTAAGTAATTAAGGAGAAAGAAATTGAGGACCTCCTTAAGCAGTAGAGGCTATCTGTGATAAATGCTGAGCAAGCATTAAGAATAAAACATAAAACACTTGTTTTTTCAAACTAGGAATAAAACTGGGTGTGGTGAAGCACATTTGTAATCCTAGCACTCAGGAGGCTGAGGTAAGAGGATTGTTGTGAGTTCTAGACCAGCCTGGGCTACAAAGTGAGCGCAAGACCAGCTTGAATTGCGTAAGACAAAAAGACAAAACAAACAAACAAACAAAAACTAGAAACATCAAAAGCTGCCTACTGTAACCATTTACCTGAATTCTGTATGCAAGGCAATCACAAAATAAAAATAGAAGGTTTGGAGGAGAAAACAATAAGACTGTGCCAGATGACAGAAAGCTTATTCTGCATATGAATAAATACACAGAAAATTCAGAAAACTGGACAGATCAGCTTTTAGGCCAGGTGACCAGGTGCCAAATTATGTTACTATACAGGAGAAGCAGTCTAAAAAAAAATTAAATTAAGAAAACCCACTATTTACAATAGACTTACAAGTTAGGAATACTTAGGATGAAGGAAAAAAAATCTCATAAAAGATAATAAAAAGGAGGGCATGGTGGCACATGCCTGTAATCTCAGCTACTCAAGAGGCTGAGACAAAAGGACTGCAAGTCCAAGGCCAGCACAGGCAATTTAGCAAGACCAGACCTCAAAAGGAAATAAAAAGATAAAAAGAAGATGGGATAGTTACCCTAAATTCAATCCCCAGCACCACTAGGAAAAAAAAAAAGATTTTTTTAAACACATATTGACAGAAGATCCATATTCAAAATATTACATGAAAACCTCTTCAGAGAAGTAAGGTTATAATGAAATAACACTACACTGGAAAAAAATTAAATCTTTCTATATTAAGATATCAAGGATGTGGAAAAACAGAAACACATATTCATTGCTGGTGAGTATAAAAATTTGTAAAACCAACTATGGGAAAGTTTTTGCTTTCCTTTTAAAACTCAAGCAGGGGGCTGGGTGTGGTGGCACATGCCTGTAATCCTAGCACTTGGGAGGTTGAGGCAGGAAGATCTCCATGAGTTCAAGGCCAGCACTGACTACAAAATGAGTTCAAGGCCAGCCTGAACTACATAGTGAAACCCTGTCTCAAAAAGACAAAAAGCAAAACAAAACGTAAAATTCAAACAGGGGCTGGTTGGCACACATCCATAAAACCAACACACGGAAAGGCTAAGGCAGGAGGAGTGCCACGAGTTCAAGGCCAGCCTGGGCTACATAATGAGTTCAAGGGCAATCTAGACACGTATAGTGAGACCCTGTCTCAAAAAAGCCAAACAGGGCCAGAGATACAGCTCAGCAGCATAGAGCGAGGTCCTCAGAGTTCAATTTCCAGCACCCCTCCCAAAGGTAAACAAACCCCGACTATAAACTATATCCTTGCACTAGCAGCATCATCCTTTTTTTTTTTTTTGAGACAGAGTCTCAGTATGTAGTTTAGGCTGGCCTCAAGTTCACCACAGTCCTGCTTCAGCCTCCCAAGTACTGGTATCACAGGCATGTGCCACTATACATGGCTGTATCTTTCTTTGGTATATCCTTTTTTTTTTTTTTTTGGTGGAACTAGGGATTGAACTCAGGCCCTTGCGCAATATATCCTTAAGCAGCAATCCTCCAATTTTTTTGGTCTCAGGAAACCTTTAAAAATTATGAAGCTTTAAAATGCTTTTATTTATGTAGTTATTTGCCATGTTAGGAATTAGAAG